TATTCACTGTCCACCTTTCACATGCATATGAGGTTATTGAAAATACTATGGCTTGGGTCAGGCACACCTTAGTCCTCAAACTAACATCTTTGCTCTTCAACACCTTAAAAAGGTCTTGTGCAGAGGACTTCTGGTGCTTCCCTGACCAGGCAGCTCAGAGTAGACACTGGAGAGGGAGAGAAAAGAATAGTCAGAAACACCACACTAGAAGGCTTGTAAGTCCGTCTTCTGCCTGTGACTGATTGGAATACCTAAAATGGGGCTACAGAGTACCCAGTGAATGAGGCTTCTTGAGGAGCCTTTGCAATACATAGAACTATAGGTGGAAACCGGAACCACATCCAGATCTCCAGAGATGAGAAATCTCCACTTGAAAGGACGAGCAGATCAGCCTGGAGCGGCTAGAAGAATAAAAGATACCTCTTGAAAGAAAGACCTGCAGGAAAAATGGAGGCAGATGGACTGTTACTATAAGAACAAACAAATCGCTTCCCTAGAAAAACATCAAGGCAAGTGGCCAGGTCCTCTCAACGCAAACCCCCTTCCAAGACTAAGACTCAGTGGAAATACACGCTCTGATTGGTGATCATACACATCACCGATGGGGGGAAGTGGGGTAAAAGCAGCAATGAAGCGGCAACTAAGCCCTACAATGTTCAGTGGACTTATGTGGACCCAGTTGGGGACCTGGTTGGCAAGCAATGTGAAGAGGCCTGGGGACTCTTGGGCCCAGAGTCAGTGGCGTGGCCACGGAGGACTCGAAAGGGAGAGTGGAGCTACCAGCTGACGGGAAGAGAGGGCATATGCACAGGAGCACCCACACTTGAAGATGTTACCTACGTGACCTGGACCGGATAACTGGATGATCGGAGCTCAACCAGGAGAGGAAAGAGAGGAGAAAAAAAAGAGTGAGCTGATACAGTCTGATGAACTTGACCTATACCTATGGAGCAGTGACTCAAAAGAGGGAACAAATCCTCACAGCAAGAAACATTCACACACACTCACACACACAGAGTGGACGGAGAAGGGCAGCTTGGACATTGGATACTCAAATGGGGAGGGGGGGACTACAAAGGCAAGAAGTGACTGGCTTACAAGCTTTCAAGAGGGAACCTGGTGCTAGGGAGCATGGCGGAAGGCAGAATCTCCAGTAGGTACTATTCAATCTGTCTGGGCGGAGCTGATGAAAGGAGATACAGATGGGTAACTCGTGATACTGCAGTGAATAATGCTTATCAGGACGGACTATGAGGGTTGGAAATGCAAAGGTGGAAGTTTTGTAACAAGGAAGGGAGTGATTAATTCTCCAGGATAGGAGCGGAGGCCTCTAGGACCATCAACGGAAAAGAGCCGAGAGCGGGACCCTACCCAGAGAAACAGAGATGCCTGAGATGGAGACAGAGATGATGACGTGGAGTGATGAAGCGACTGGGGACTTTGGATGCAGAGAGGGAAAGGGATTGTGGGCCGAAAACTGGGGGGAGGAGGGGGAAGTGTAGGGGGCGGGTTTCTGGGGTGTACCCTTTGAGTGGTTGATGATGCATGGAGGGGATTGTAACCATGGCAGTGAGATGATATAAGAAGGAATGAATGTAAAACTAAAGTTCTCCCATGTAAAGTATCATATAATTCACAAAAAAACATTAAAAAAAAAAAAAAAGGTCTTGTGCAGCAGATTTGCCTAATGCAATACATCCTTTGATTTCTTGACTGCTGCTTCCATGAGTGTTGATAGTTGATCCAAGAAGAATGAAGTCCTTGATAACGTCAATCTTTTCTCTGTTGATAAGAATGTTGTTTATTGGTCCAGTGGTGAGGATTTTTGTTTTCTTTACGTTGAGATGCAATCCATACCGAAGGTTGTGATCTTTGATCTTCATCAGTAAGTATTTTAAGTCCTCTTCACTTTCAGCAAGCAAGGTTGTATCATCTGCATATTGCAGGTTGTTAATGAGCCTTTCTCCAATCCTGATGCCACGTTTTTCTTCACAGAACCCAGCTTCTCTGATTATTTGCTCAGCATACAGGTTGAGTAAATATGGTGAAAGAATATAACCCTGTTGTACACCTTTCTTAATTTTAAACTATCCAGTGTTCCCATGTTCTTTTTGGTCCATGTATGTATTCCTCATGAGCACAATGACGTGTTCTGCTATAGTCATACTTTGCAATGTTGTCCTTAGCTTGTCCACACAATCAAAAGCCTTTGCGTAGTCAATAAAGCACAGGTAAACATCTTTCTGATATTCTCTGCTTTCAGCCAAGATCCATTGGACAACAGCAATGATATCACTCGTTCCACGGCCTCATCTGAATCGGGCTTGAATCTCTGGAAGTTCTCTGTCAATGTATGCTTGCAGCCGTTTCTGTATTACCTTTGGTAAAACTTTACTGGCATGGGATATCAAAGAATTGTCTGATGATTTCCGCATTCCGTTGGATCACCTCTGTTTGGAATGGACACAAATACAGATCTCTTCCAATGAGTTGGCCAAATTTCTTGGCATAGATCAGTGAGTGCCTCCTGTGCTGCCTCACTTTCTTGGAAGATTTCAATTTTTATTCCATCAATTCCTGGTGCCTTGTTCTTTGCCAGTTCCTTCAATGCACCCTTGGATTTTTTCTTTCAGTATCATTGGTTCTTGATCATATGCTACCTCTTGAAACGGGTGAACATCAACCATTTCCTTTTGGTACAGTGACTCTGTGTTTTCCTTCCATCTTCTTTTGATGCTTTCTGCATCATTCAATAATGCCACAGTTTGATAGATGCTCATAGAAGATGTGAGACATCTGGGTCAGAGTCAAGGAACTTCTTTACTCATAGCATACCAGGCATTATGAACATCATGCTCATTTATCAGTTCATCTTGACCCTCAAGTTCCATGATAATGACATGGAGTAGCCTAACCAAATGCTGTACACCACTTGAAGAAGACTGAGTTTAGGGAACCCAAGTTGCTATAACACCTGCCCAAACATTGCCCTAAAGAGACGTATTATTTCTCTACAAAAATCCTTGAATAGATAGTCTGGAGGAAATCTGTGACTGCCTCTGCTCACAAGATATGAAGAAACTGCAATAGATCCATGGAAAATTTTATCCTAGCACTGCTTCCTCTTCCCCACTTTATTTTAATTTAAAAAGAAACATGTTGATGAAGACATCAAAATTAGAACTTTAGGAATTGCTGGTGGGAATGTAAAATGAGCAGCCACTATAGAAAACCATTTGGCAGTTCTCTGAAAAATTAAACAGAATTACCAAATGAACCAACAGTTCCACTCCTAGGTATATATATCTAAGAGACTTGAAAACAAGACTTAGATATATGGATGTCATGTTATCGCAGCATCATTCATAATAGCAAAAATGTAGGAACAACTCAAGTGTCCATTAACATGAATAAACAAAATGTGATATATTTGTATATGTGTGTATGGTGGTATTGTTGTAGAGGTAGTTCCTACTCACAGGGACCCTGTATAGTTTCTGAGGACTGGCTGGTGGTCAGCAGTCCAGTGCTTATCCTACATCATCACACCAGGACTCCTTTGTGTGTTGTTGTTCAGTGTCGCCAACCTTGCAGTTCAAACAGATCCAGCAGTCTAGTGCATTATCCTCTAGTGGGTGGTTAAGGTCTCAACAACTAGCTGAAATGGTGGTTCAGATCTATCTGGTGGCACCTTGGAAGACAACTCTATGCTTTTGAAAGGTAACAGCATTGAAAACCTTATGAAGCAGTTATACTCTGCACACATGGGGGTTGCCATAGTTGGGATGGACTCAGTGACAACCACAATATATTTACATATATGTACATGTGTATACTTAACCCAACCCCATTGCTGTCTTGTTGATTTCAATCATAGTGACTCTGTAAGGAAAAACAAGAATTGCCTCATAGGATTTCCAAGGCTGCAGCTGCTCCTCAGAAACCCAATACAGGGTTGCTATGAGTTGGAACTGATTCATTTGACTTATGGTGTTGGTGAAGAATATTAAAAGTACTGTGGACTGTTTGAAGAACAAACAAATATGTGTTGTAAGTCAGAATGTTGCTTAGAAACAAGGGTGGAAAGACTATGTCTCTGATTCCTTGGACATGTCAGGAGGGATCAGTCACTGGAGTACATCCTGCTTGGTAAAGTAGAGGATCATCGTAAAAGACAAAGACCCTTGCAGTGCAATGTAGTGACACATTGGCAGCAACAATGGACTCAAACAAATTGTGAGGATGGCACAGGATTGGGCAGTTTCGTTCTGTTCTGCTTTAATGCTTATATAAGTATGAATAGACTCGACCGCCTCTGCTACAGTTGCATGTAGTAAAGAACTGTAACCAGGGATCCCGTTGACTCATTTATATAGAGTATGTGACTTATTTGTGCAAATGAAAATAAGTTAATGAAGCTGCCATTGAAGTTGATTCAGAATAAAGGAAAGGCAGTAACTTCATGGTATACTAACTTCTGAATGCACGTCAATGACATGGTGCTCAACTCAAAAGTTATGGGTTGTGGTCTTAGTTTTTCCATTGAATTTTTTATGTGACCTGAAGCAAGTTAAAAAATACTTGGCTCTCCATTTCTTTCTGGTGGTTGGTGGTTGTGTGCCATGGAGTCAATTCCAACTCATAGGGACCCTGTATTGGGTTTCTGTGTTTGTAAATCTTTACAGGAGCAGAAAGCCTTGTCTTTCTCTTGCAGAACCAGTGGTGGTTTCGAACAGTTGACCCTGAGGTTAGCAGCCCAACTTGTAAACTTTTAACCACTATGCTACCAGAGTGCCTTCTATTTCTTTCTACTTCTCTTGAAATTTAGTTGGGCAGGGTATATGGGGGTATTTGACCATATCTTTTATGATCTTTTACTTCTATAAGTTGATCCCATTGTTCTTAACTATAGATTTAAAAGTCTCTTTTCAAATAAAAATATTCTTTTTAAAAAAATCCTAAGTTATGTGACTTACTAAACTGAAATTTTTAATTTTTAGGGAAGACATATAAGGAATTTGCATAAGACAGCTGTGCAAAATGGCGCTGGGGGAGCCTTATTTGTGGTAAGCATTATTTAGATTTCTTCAGAATTAAAAAGATTTTGAAATTTTGGTAAATCCATTATAATAATCTAAAATTTCTTAAACACCAGTGTCTTTGGTATAAGTAGGCCATCATAGGAATTCTAAGTCCTGGTATGGTGCTACAGAATAATGCACTGTGTGCTTTGAGTCAGAGCAGACTCAGTGGGCCTTAACAACAACAGCAGTTACATTCAGTACTTTTCAAAAGATGTATGCTTCCAGCTAAACGTTAAATTGGCATCAAGACAACTCTGGAAATAAGAATATAGATTATGCCGTGATGAAATTACTCTGAATCCTAACCTGACTTTAGTCATACTTTGCGTCCTTAAAAAAAAATCAGTCATTTTGGGGAGAAAAGTTCAGACAACTTGAGTCACTGAAGATTCTGAAGCTGCAATTTGGGGACTGCAAAATGGCACAACATTTAAATTTATCTTTTCCCCCAAAAAACATGTCCAATTGGCCACATTATACAAAGTTTCTGGGTTGTTGTTTTTTTTCTTTAGGTTTATAGACTTGAAAAAAAGTGAGAGGTAACATAGTAAGGGTTCAGTTCTATATTCAGCATATATATAAAGCATTAATAATAGATGTGCTAATCTCAGTGTGACTCATTTGATTTCCTGTTGACCTGCAATTTCTTGTCAGCTTTTTAAGAGGATCTGCTCTGCTGTTTTAAGAAGAAATAAAGCTTTTTGCTGTTGTTTAGTTTCTGATCATGGAAAGCATGTAGGGAAATGATGGTACTATCGCAGATTGCTTTGACAATCTGCTACACTCTCTTTTGGAAAAATGCATATCTTCATACTCAAAATTGTGTGTCTTAATTTCATAAGGCATCTAATAATTGAGAGTGTTTGAATAGTTCCATTAGAAAATGATGTTCTCTAATCAATTTGAAGAGTCCTGTGTGGCATTGTAGGGATAAGCACAGAATGGACTGCCAATCTTGTAAACTCTATACAGGGTCACTATGAGTTAGAACTGACTGGACAAAACTTAACAACAGTCCAATTGTATAGCACTTTTTTTGGGGTAAGGGCTGTCTTGTTTTTTAGGTTCTAAATTCTCTGTACCTATATAAGGTGCTTTCTAATCATCTAATGTGCATTTTTACATTAGTTTAGTACTCTTCTGATGGAAGAATAGATTGATATGTTTCATGTTAAAGAGATCAACAGTAGTAGTATAGCAATATACAGAAGTTTTTCATATATTTGAGATAAATTTGAAATATTTTTTATTTCTTTGTGTAGCACAGAGATACTCCTGAGAATAACCCCGATACTCCATTTGATTTCACACCTGAAAACTACAAGGTATGACTAAACTGATAATACAATTTCTATAAAATATTCATTATCTAGAAGATGTATAACATAGAATCTTTTTAATTATTATTATTATTACCTTTTAAATACAGAGGATAGAGGCAATTGTAAAAAACTATCCAGAAGGACATAAAGCATCAGCTGTGCTCCCAGTCCTGGATTTAGCACAGAGACAGAATGGATGGCTGCCCATCTCTGCTATGAACAAGGTATCAAATTAACTTTTGCATTAGTTTGAAAAGAGGAGAGGTTTTACATGGTGATTTCTTTATGTGGAAATTTCTTTGATGAATTATTATTTTATTTTATTTATTTTTTTAATTAAATGTTTTTATTTTGGATTGAGTGAAAGTTTACAGGGCACATCATCAGCTTCACATTCAACCATTCATATAGCTTGTTTCATTACATTGATTATTATCCCCTCCATATATCATCAGTTAACAGTGTCTCTCTCTATCCTCTTTAGCTTTTTTTTTTGGTCGGCTTTTAGGGAAGGTTTTTACATTTGTCTGTGGATATCCAGGGCTCATGTATGAGATTACTAACAAGCATTACTGAATAATCAGATGAGGGACAGTTTGCTATGTCTACTAGGTAGCTAAAGTCTGATCCTCAGAGCCTATGGTTTGGACAGTCAACAACGCTTGGGCCCACAGGGGCTTGACCTCCTGACCGGGTCTGCATGGTCTACATCATATTTCTCCTTATATATTGTTTGTTTAAGGGACGCTGCCTGTCTTAGGCGGTCAGTGCGAATTCCTCAGTCTTACCAGTCATTGAAACTCATTGCAGCATGGCAATGGCTCTGTCTTAAGTTGCCGAGGTTCCACGTGATCCTTACCCGTCTCTGGCCACACGTCCAGCATAAACAGCCGCCATCCGAGGAAGGCAGGGAGGGAGGAGATTGGCTGGGGACCCCATACGCAAGACGTTGCCAGCCCACCACCTGCTCTAAGGTGACCAAGCAGGATCACTATGCTGAGGTTCAGTCAAGTTCTTAGGGGATCTTACTCTCTAGTAGGGGTAGCAAATTAGTAGCCACTCAGTGTTCACTTTGAGAATTACTTATATCATAAATTTGAGCATGTAGCTGATGAATATCCACAGACAAGTGTATATTGTTCCACAACCTCTTTGATGAATTATTAATGTCAGAATCTAGCTGGTTGAAGCCCAATAATGGTTTGTATGTTTTCTCATAGTAGAATTACATTTGTGTTTTTGTTGGTGTCCTAAATAATGCAGAGAACTGTAAAGAAGGTAGAGCTTTTTATCCTTGTAGGAAATAGTACAAGCAGTCACATTAAAGTGAAAGTGGATCTTTTTTTTATTTTCTTTCTTTTTAAGGTAATGGCCTTAGTACAAAAATTCACACACACACATATATATAGTTTGACATCAAGATACTCTGAAAATTAATGCATTTTAAACACCAGAATTATAAAAGAAAAAAGAATTCCTCAAGCTAGTGGAAGATATAAACATGTTAATTTCAAGTTAGTAAGGTAAATGCTGATAAAGAAATCCAAAAAACCCTGTTACTGGTATGTGGATTCTGACTCATAGCAGCCCTATATACAGATGTGTAAAAAGAGCTTTAGAGGATCGGGTTTGGACGACCTGAGGGGGCCAGATTTACGGAAAGCTTTGAAGAAAATGAGATTTACGGAAAGCTTTGAAGAAAATGAGATGGTATGATGAGCAGAGACCTGAAGAAAAATTAAGGGTTTCTTAAAGAACAAAGAATGTAAAGGAATTAAAAGAGAGAAGAAGATTGTAAGTACTAAATATAAAAAGATATAAAACCAGAAAATGTCACTGAGTATTTGAAATGTTATAAAAACGTTTACAAAGTGTGTGAATCTTTGTAATATATTACATTTTTGGCTATGTTATTGTTTTTGTTAGGTGCCATTGAGTTGGTACCGACTCATAACAACCCTATGTGCAACAGAACAAAACACTGCCCAGTCCGGGGCCAACCTCATCCTGTGCCAATCAATCCATCTTGTTGGGGGTCTTCCTCTTTTCTGTGAACCTTCCACTTTACCAAACATGATATCCTTCTACAGTGACCAGCCCCTCCTGACAACATGTTTGAAGTATGAGAGATGAAGTCTGACCATTTTTGGCTTTTGTTGTTGTTGTTAAGTGCCGTCAGGTTGGTTCCAACCCATAGTGACCCTCTATAGGGTTTCCGAGGAGCAGCTGGTGAGCTTGAACTGCTGACCTTGCAGTTCAAACAGCTTTGTAGTCTGGTGCATTAACCCACAGTGCCACATCAGTACTCCTTTTTTGGCTATAGGCTTTAATAAAAAATCTATAAAAATATGGTGTTTAAGCCACTTGATTATAACAGCTTGGCATCATTAATATATATATCCTGCTCTCGTTGATCCATTATATTATGAAATTAGTCTTTTATTTTTTAAATTGCATTGTTTTATAAGTGTTTTCTACAGTAGTCCACATCTCAAGTGTATTCATACCTTTATAATGTACAGAGAAATCTGTGAGAACCGGAACTCTGTAAGACTGCCTTGTTTTTCCAGGTCTCAGGTTTCCCACCTTTGGCAGGATGCAGTCTTAACACTTTTGTACTGCATGTTTTAATGGAAAATATTTGTTTCTCTTTTCTGACAGGTTTCCTCCTTTAAAAGGTTCTAGCTTTCATAGGTTTCCCCACAATACACACACACACACACACACACTCACACACACATAGTTATGTTCTATTATATTAGAGTCCCAGATGTGGCACTGTAGGTTAAAAACACTGGACTGCCAACCCCAAGTTTGGCAGTTCAAACCCACCAGCTGCTCCTTGGAAACTCTATACAAGGGTCACTGTGGGTTGGAACTACTTATACAGCACCATACGAAACCACATACTTGATTCTTACCAGAATCACACAACTATAAGCTAGCATGATATAATAGAAAATATATTTGATTTAGAGCTAAGAGACCTGAATTTTTGTCCTGGTTATGTTACACTCTAGTTTTGTAACTAAGGGTCTTAAATGCTCTTGATTTATTTTCTTATACATAGAATGCAGGTTTTGAACTGGAAAGTCTTCCAATTATTACGTTATGCTTTTTAAGTGATAAAGTTGGGACTGAAGCCACGTCTTCTCATTTCCAATTCATTACATTTTCAACTTAACTGACCTGCTGTCATAAGGATTCAACTATATTTCATTCTTCTCATGCCTTTCTGAACTTTATTTGGTCGTAACTTTTAGGCTAGATCATTGTCACCTTTTATGGAGAAAATGAGTGTCTGTACTTTTAATCTTAAATGCAATTTCACATTGGACTCTTAGTATTATCTTGGCTATGGAAATGCTAAAAAGCAAATTTAGAGTTAGGTGGTGGTTGTTGTTAGGTGCCATCGAGTCAGTACCAACTCATAGCAACTTATGCACAGCAGAACGAAACCCTGCCTGATCCTGGGCCAACCTCAGTACTGTTGCTATGCTTTAGGCCATCGATGCTGCCACTTGGCCAATCCATCTCATTGGGGGTCTTTCTTTCTTTGACCATCCACCTTACCAAACGTGATATCCTTCTCCAGTGACCTGCCCCTCCTGACAATATGTCCGAAGTACTAAAATATAATTTTGTAGTCCTTAAGTGGCACAGACAAATATGTGTTCAGCTATTAACTGAAAGTTTAACAGTGTGAACCCATCCAGAGGTGCCTAGGAAGACCTGGTGATCTGCTTCTAAAAAGTCACATCTTTGAAAACCATATAGAGCAGTTCTCCTGTGCACACATTGGGGTTACCATGAGTCTGAGTGGACTTGATATAAACTGGAATATACTTAGTGAGCAGAGCTACAGGTGGTTATTTGTTTTTATGTAATAGCATGTTTCTTGTGAGTGTTCTGAATTATATTGTAATATTCAACTTTCTAAGTATGACTTAGGCATATTTTCTTAATTTTAGGTATCTTTTGTTTTTCTGTCTTAAATTCACAATTTTAATACAAAGGAACTTCAAAAAGTTAATGAAAAAGTGGAATGAAAAATAATGGAATTTTCCCACAAACTTTAAAGTCTATTGAAAATGTTACTGTGGAGTAAGCTTGGTGATGGTGGTGGTTGTGTGCTGTGAAGTTGGTTCTGACTCATAGCAACCCTGTACAGGGTTTCTGAGGCTGTAAATCTTTACGGGAGCAGAAAGCCTCATCTTTCTCCCATGGAACATGTATATATGTGTGTGTGTATACATACAATCATTCTATGTTTACATATGTAAATATAGATAGACGGTATATGGATCTTCAACCTTTTTCTGTCTCCATCCCATTTGCATGCACTGTTACACCACCAGTAACATCTAGGCATTTTGGAAAAATTTGGTAAAAGGCTTAAAAATTGAAATTTTCATATCTTGGGGTTTGACCACACAATTTTGCACTTAGAAATTCAAATTATGAAACATAAAAATTGAAATGATCAAAGCAGAAATTTTTAATAGTCTAAGGTTTAAAAGATAGAATATCTTTTTTTAGATCTCTGGGTTCTGTTAAGTATAAGGTGTCTTCAAAAAATGAAGAGCTTGCCTATCGCTTGCAGCTATGTGGTACAGGTGTATATTTTACTTCTAAAGAACTTTTCTGTTTTTATTAAATTGAGATAATAATAAAAATTATAATTCTTAAGACATACCTAATGTGGCACTGTGGACTCCTGGTGTGTTGCTGTAGGATCAGCACTGGACTGTGAACCACAAGGTCTGCAGTTCAAACCCACCAGTAGCTCCTTAGAAACCCTACACAGGGTCACTATGAATCCAGCTTAACTCGATGGCACTTACACAACAATGTAGCACTGTAGAATAGGCACTGAACCACAAGGTCTATTTGAACAGCAAGGACAGCTGTTTAGCCCACCAGCTCCTTGGAAACCCTATACAGGGTTGCTGTGAGTTGGAACTGACCACAAAGCTCAATTAATAAACATATAAGTATCTTATTTAAACCATTATTAATGTTTCAGGTTGCAGAAGTTTTACAAGTACCTCCGATGAGAGTATATGAAGTAGCAACTTTTTATACAATGTATAATCGAAAGCCAGTTGGAAAGTATCACATTCAGGTGTGCACTACCACACCCTGCATGCTTCGAGATTCTGACAGCATCCTGGAGGCCATTCAGAAAAAGCTTGGTATGGGATACACTATAATGCTATGTTTGTAACTTATGAAAATAGAATTGTCTCTCTAGAGCTATAAACTATATTTCTAACTTGTGAAAAATAGAATTGTCTCTTTAGAGTTGACGTGTTTCTACTAAAATTTCCCATATTTGCTATTTTATTGGATCTGTACTTCTTCACTAAATGTTTGCCTTACTGTGTTTACCACCTTATTTCTCCGTGTCTTAATTCTCAACCTCAGAACTGAGTTTACCTTTTCTTTCCCTGTGTGCTTGAATCGTTTCTAAGAGTTTAAAAGGTTTCATTGTTTGGAAAATCAAGTTTGGCTTCATATATAGTAGTACCTAGTACATAAAAAAAAAAAAAAAAATATGTATTCTTCCAAAGGAGCCATGGAACAAATACTAGAAAGTGCGTTGTAAGTACAGGAAACTGAAAGAGATGTTATTATGGTGGTTGTTGTAAGTGCCATTATTATGGTAGCATTTACAAAATAAAATGGTATTTTCCCCATAAAAATGGTGATTACTGCATTTATAACTATGTTAAGTGAGGTAAGAGGAGAAGTATCTTTTTTTGTGGTTGTTGGATATTACATACTTGCATGTTGTAAAAACAGTTAAGCAGTATAAAAGTTTATAGAACAGAATGCTAAAGTCTGTTCAGAATGCTCCCTACCCCAAGACAGAAATGCTGATAATAGTTGGGTATTTTAGTTTTAGATTTCATGTCATTTTAATTAACTTTTAAAAATAACTATTGAATACATTGATATCTCTAACACTGTTAGATTATAAGTAAGCAATTTTTTTTTAATGTTTTATTGTGAATTATATGATAGTTTACATGGGGGAACTTCAGTTTTACATTCATTCCATCGTATATCATCTCACTGCCATGGTTCCATTCCCCTCCATGCATCATCAACCACCCAAAGGGTATATCCCAGAAACCTGCCCCCTACACTTTCCCCTCTTCCCCCCAGTTTTCGGCTCACAATCCCTTTCTCTCTCTGGGTCCAAAGTCCCCAGTCGCTTCATCACTCCACGTCATCATCACTGTCTTCATCTCAGGCATCTCTGTTTCTCTGGGCAGGGTCCCACTCTCGGCTCTTCTCTGTTGATGGTCCCAGAGGCCTCTGCTCCTATCCTGGAGAATTAATCACTCCCTACCTTGTTACAAAACTTCCGCCTTTGCATTTCCAACCCTCATAATCCATCCTGATAAGCATTATTCACTACAGTATCACAAGTTACCCATCTGTATCTCCTTTCATCAGCTCCGCCCAGACAGATTGAATAGTACC